GTGGGATAAACCCTTTTTGTTTTTTTTTTTTTTTTTTTTTTTTTTTTTCCTTTTGAATAAAAGCTTTTTATCCTACACTTGTCTTGAGATTTATTTATAAAGGGGAATTTCAATGGCTTGGGAGTCGGTTTTATTTTAGTTTTTACACTAATGTTGTATATATTTCTTTCATTTTCTATTTAATAATTTTATATTTGCTCTCATTAAAGCTGAACAGGTTAAAGTGGACCGGTCATTAAAATTCATACGTACATGAATCTGTAGTGTATGAGGCGGCATTATAAAATCACATTCTTATTCTATTAATGATCACCAAACTGATGTCTCTTAGCTCCCAGCCGGGGAAGTGAAGATCACATGGTCCCTGGCTACCAATCATTTCAGCCAGCTATGGGGTTCATAGATGGCGGCCCCTTTACAATGATCATTTGAAACTGTTAACTCTTGGGATTGGTGGGTAGGTTTATTTTGTGCAGGTATCAAGAGTCTGTGGCTATGACCACTTTAAGGTCTTGTTCACACCAAGCGCAGAGCAGAGCAGTTGCAGACCGGATCAAAACTGCGTCCAATGTATTCCAATGGTATTTTTTGCTCCAGTTCACATCGCAGCGTGCAGTTCCAGAGCAGGTGAGCTGCAAACGCATCAAAAACGCATGCAAATGCCTGGAACACACTTTTTTAAAAACCAAAAACGCATCTAAAAGACTAGCGTGTGTGTGCAGAAGCCTGACCGCATCTGCTCTGCATTTGGTGTGAACAAGGCCTTACTGTGCTCCCAGCATCAAAAAATGCATAATCCAGCTTTCAATAAATAAACAACAAATAAAAATCTGTCTCTAACTACCTCATAAAAGCAATCCCTTATCAGCAGATACCTTGTGCACAGATCCCATAAAAGAAACCCAAACAGTTCTTACTTGCAAAGCTGCCACCACGCAGTGTCTCTCTGTGGAGCAACATGCTGTGACTTCCGCAAGGTTTGTGGGACTCCTGTGAAAACAGCTTCTTCTTCAAGAACAATCACATCAGTGGCATAACTACATAAAAAATTGGAGTAGAATACAAGGCCACTCTTATTCTTTATTGACAAGGTGACAATACAGGAGCACATTTGGGTGGTAGGGACAGCGTTGTCACCCTATAATGGGGTGCTGTGCTAAATCATACGTGTAATAGACTTGTGCGCCGTCAAAAAATTAGTTTAGTTTCGGAATATCCGTTATTTCGTAATTCGTGTCCGAAACTCAATCCGGATTCGTACGAAATACGAATTTTCGTTAGTTTCGTCACGAACATTCGTTATGATGAAGTGTAATATGTATGAGTGCAAGGATCGCATTGAGGACAAAACTGAACTAGTGGAGCCGAACCTTCAGATCAAAAACTTTCACACTGATACATTTGTATTAATAGGAAGTGTGTGTGACGTGTTTTCCTAGCGAACGCACGCTCTGCCAGCACCCAGAAAGAGTTGGCACATGTTCCGCGCCTCGGCCCAGGCTGGTCTCCATGATCTAGTGTCTTATGGCCTCTATATCCGATATAAAGATCGCTGTCACATAATTACACGCTACGTCGCCAGGATCTCGGTGGTCCCTCTGGATGCGTTTGCGCTCCATACTTATCCTAACAGATGCTGCCAGCAGTAAATATACAGACATTGAATAAACACTGCCAGATTCTCGCATAATCTTTATAAATGAGGCCCCGTCCCATAGCGCTGCGCCATCCAGACATGATCGGAGGTCTGCATAATTCACACATGCATGACTAATTCACACAAACACTGCCGGCTCCATACATTATTCATCGAGTCGTGTCAGTTCCTGCGTGTGTTTATTTTCTGTACGGTTTAAATGGGGATACAGAGGCAGAGATGTATGTATCAGTGTGGGATGGGGGAGTCAACGGGAGAGGATTGGTAAGTGAAGACAGATCGCCATCTAGTGGTGATGTTACATTATGGCATGCTTGGAGTGAGAAGAAGGGCAGACCCCTTGAAAGCTTATCCTAAATATCTAAAGAACTCCAAACAAACAAAAAGCGTACCCCCCGCAGTGTAAGGGTTAAGTGCTTGTTTGGGATCGAATAAGGTAAATGTATTAACCTGATCCTCAGTCCCGCCAGCTCCCTCTAGGTTGCTAGACCAGTCCCCGCAGCCTCTGCTCCCCTTTGTTCTGGCAGTCTAAGCAGCGGCGTCACAAGGGGGCTGCGGCCCACACCCGGGTGACACCATTGGAGGAGTGACACCAAAATGACTGACAGTCATTTTGGTGTCACCCCCTCCAAAAAGTCTCATGGACCAAGAACCCAACAGTGTCAGGAAAGAGGAGGGGATCCAGCGACATACCTCATCCTGCTGGGTGAACGTCCCATTCTCTCTCTGCCGGCGTCCACCACTAAGATGGCCGCCGGCAGGCATAAATTAGATTACCGCTCATGCGCGATGACGTCACGGCGGGGTGCCACCCGGTCAATTTCAGGGAGGTGTCCCCCCCCCACACACACTCCCAGTCACGGCAGATAGCACTGGAAGCAATAGCTTCTTTGCTATCTGCTGGTTTTCTGGTTTACAGGTAGTTTTTTTTTTCGTATTCTGACAGCTGCTGCCGTCAGAATTAAGAAACAAAACAACCATAGGAATGAATTGCTAGATTGCTATTGGCTATTTCAATTTGCAATATCCAATAGCAAGCTGCTGTCAATCACTATAAGAGGACCTGATGGAGAACTTCAGGTCCCCCTCTGGTGATTGACAGCAGCAGAGGGCGGGTGCAATAGCTAGTCTGCTATTGGATATTGCAAAGTGAAATAGCCAATAGCAATCTAGCCATGCATTCCTATGCTGGGGTTTTTTTTTTTCCTCTGACTGACGGCGGCCCCGATGTTAGCAAAAAAAAACAGATCGCAGCGAAAGGTTTACTCTGCTAGATAGAGCAGAGTAGACCTTTCCAGGAGAAAATGTTTCTCTCCCGGGCGGCTGGGAGCCGCTATTCAATAGTGGGAGACTCCCGGAGCATCCGGGAGAGTTGGGATGTCTGTGTCACATGTCTGCTCACTACACTGTGTGTACTCTGTTTTACATTACACATTGCTGACTGCTGTAGGCTGAGCACAGTATTTGTTGTCTCATAATATATCTCAGGAGGCCTCAGGATCAGGGATACAAAGAGTTTGGAGGGTGGAGCTGCGTGTGTCATGGGGGGCTAGCTGCTTGAACCGAAAGGAGGCAGCCAGCGCTTGATGACCAAGGAGCACCAAGATGGTGGCGCAGTACCTGGACTGTGAGAAATTACTGAAAGGGGCGGGGCCAAGGACAGTATAGAGAACACATAGTACAGAAGTGAATCTCCCAGCTGGGACATAGGAAACAAAAAACTAATCCTTTCACACTCCATCCTAAACTTAGATTGTCTTGAATTGTAAAGCGCTGTGCACACTGTTGGCTCTATATAAATCCTGAATAATAATCATAATCATCATAATAAAACATTTTGGTTTTAGATCAGCGGTTCTCAACCTGTGGGTCGCCGGGAGTCTCCCGCTATTAGATAGCGGCTTCCGGTCGCCCTGGAGATAAACACTTTCTCCCGGAAAGGTTTACTCTGCTCGATCGAGCAGAGCAAACCTTTCCCTGCAATGATTTTTTTTTTTCTTAATCCTGGCATCGGAGCTCCCGGCCGCTGTAAGTCAGAAAAAAAATAAACACCATTGGAATGCATAGCTAGATTCCTATTGGCTTTTTCACTTTGCGATAGCCAATAGCAAACCAGCTATTGCACCCGCCCACTGCTGCTGTCATTCAGCAGAGGGGGACCTGCAGTTCTCCATCAAGTCCCCATCTAGTGATTGACAACAGCAGAGGGTGGTTGCATTACCTAGTTTGCTATTGGCTATCGCAAAGTGAAATAGCCAATAGGAATCTAGCTATGTATTCCAATGGTGTTTTCTTTTTTTTTTATTCTGATGGCGTACGGCACAATAAGGCTGCAAATGTTTAATAATCAATATGTATGCACTTCGAATGCACTACCATTTACTACCACCAGGTGTCAGAGACATACCACATATGTATTTTCCTGGTACACTAGTGTTTTAAAGGTAATGAAGGTGGTGGTCACAGTGTTGCTGAAACACCTCCGTGTTCAATTCCCCGGCAGTTCAGCCAAACAGGTTGAAAATCAATAATATCAATGAACCTGAATCCAAACACCATTGAAGTCAATCGTGTCATGGGGGCTGTACCTGTCAACCGCGAAAAAAAAAAAAATGTTTTCTTCTTAACCAGTTGACATCCGCGGTGTTAAACCCCCTTCCCATCCAGGCCATTTTTCAGTATTCAGCGCTGCGGTACTTTGACTGACATTTATTCCGTCATGCAGCGCTGTACTGAAATGAATTAGCTATGGACCCGCTGATCGCCTATATGTGAAACACCCGGTAACGGGTGTGTGCATTGATCGGGTCTTTTCTGCCCGTGCGTGCCCGCTAGGGGGGGCGCGCGAGCAGAAAAAAATTGCCGTCTGGAGACGCAGATGCTGCAGTGCCGTCCGTCCGTTTTTTACTACGGGCGAACGGCAAGAGGTTAAAATGACACAAAAATTATGATTCTGGTACAAAGCATTGCAAAGATAGATAAAGGTCTCTTTTTTTTAATTTTGTGCTTTTTTTTTCAAATGTGACACTAAACACAAACAAAAAAAACCCCAAACACAATGAATAAAAACAGTTTAAATTTAATGACTTAAAAAATAGACAAGCAAAAAAAAGAAAAAGAAAATCAGTTAAATCAGCTTAAAAATAATAGCTTGAGGGAGAAGGGGAGGAAGGAGTTAATTAGGACTGAATAAGGTAAATTTAGAATTAGTCATTTAGGGGTAAATTAGACAGTTTTTTTTTAAACTTGTCAGGTTGCTTTAAAGTGACAGTAACCCCCCCCCAGTGACAGTCTCATTGTCACAGGTCAGCTAGAACTATGAGGTGAGTGAAAAGCAATCACCTCATAGTTCTCCTTTAAGTAATGCCTCATCTTCTTCCTTCCAGTAGTCTTCAGAAGTCCCTCCAGCGCTGGTGTCGGTCTCTGTTTCTTCCTGTCCCACGGAGTCTGTCCGGCGTGCACGCTCATAACTTCATGGATTGACTTTCACTGTAGCTCTCCCTGCCGGTGATGTCCACTGCGCATCGCCTGCACACATCCTCCTGCTCGGCTCGGCTACAGTTTTACAGCCGGAAGCGAGCGGCGGAGACACAGGTAACTTTTTACCTATCTGGTAACTTTTTTTTACTTTTTTCAATGTTTTTGCATATATCTAATGCTTGCTAGCAGTAGATATATGTAACAAAAAAAGGGGGGCTTTAATTAGGGTTGCCACCTTTCCAGGATTCGCCCGGACAGTCCGTGTTTTAAATGCTGTGTCCGGGTTACATGGCAGCAGAAACGCGGACACAAGATGTCAGGTAGACAGGGGCAACCAAGATTAGGATAGGGGCTACTGGCACCCCACTGAAAATAGTCTCATCTGTGATATTTACATATAAATAAACCACAACTCATTCTCCTCAAAAAATGTCAGCGCATCGCTAGAGTGTTCGGGTTTCACTTGAAGGAAAGGTGGCAACCCTGGCTTTATTGTCACTTTGACTGACATCATTTGCAGATTGAAACTCGTCCCTTTGATCTGCAGATGAATGAAACAGAGTAGAAATATGTTACTTTGTATCTTTCTATCTTGGATGGTGCAGTTTTGACAGCAGCTGTTGTTACAGCTCATCCAGTAACTCCGGCTGCCATTTTGACAGCTGGGAATTTCCAGCAAATGTAATGGGGGGGGCGGGGTGAGAAGTCAGGATGATGACATTTTCTTGGACGTGTGTAGCATGCCCAGTGTCCACAGCTCGTTAAAGTCTATAGAAAGACCATTTGTTTTTTATAGAGTAGGAAAAGCTATTTGGCTGTTTGGTGTTTTTTTGTTATCTGTTTCCTATTTGGAGAGATTTCTATTCACTTCCTGTCCTTTATAGTCACTATACGTTACAATCTGACCACACACTCTCTGTACAATCAACTTTAGATTTACCAAGATTATGTAATAGGAGGGACTACCCAGTCTGACCAATCAACATGTATCCAGTCAGGCAGGACTGTGTGATACATAATTAATAGTAAATCTACAGGACATTGTCCAATCAGATTGTAGTGTGTGTTGGGTGAGACAGAAAGGAGAAGATGAGAGGAATTACACTATATTGCCAAAAGTATTGGGACACCCCTCCAAATCATTGGATTCAGGTGTTCCGTGACACTTCCTTGCTACTAAATATTCCACAATCACCTGTTACTGGTATTATAACAAAGTGGAAGCAACTGGGAACAACAGCAACTCAGCCAGGAAGTGGTAGGCCACGTACAATGACAGAGCGGGGTCAGCGCATGCTGAAGCGCACAGTGCGCAGAAGTCGCCAACTGTCTGCAGAGTCAATAGCTACAGACCTCCAAACTTCGTGTGGCCTTCAGATTGGCACAACAACAGTGCGTAGAGAGCTTCATGGAATGGGGGCCGAGCAGCTGCATCCAAGCCGCACATCACCAAGTGCAATGCAAAGCGTGGGATGCCATTGTTAGGGAAGGAGCGAAGTCCCCCTGTTTGCTGGATTGGAACCCAATAGCAGGGAACAATCCCAGAAGGAGAGTAAAGGCTGAGGTACAAGAAAGGATAATCCAAAATGCGTTGTCAGAGTCCGGGTCGAGGCAGGCAGCGAGTATCATAAACGGTGAGGCAAGCCAGGGGTCGATAACCAGGAGATCCGAATAGCAGGGAAGGGAGGCAGGAAACGAGGCGTTGTAGCTGCTTAGGGAATGGCAGAATAACTCAGCAACAAGTCTTGGCTCAGGCTGGAATTTAAACCCAGCAGGGGCCAGCGACGCCCCTGTTGTCTGGGCAACAGGAAGCCACAGGTTCCTGCGAACCAAAAAGGGAATGGAATCCTGCCTTAGTTGTCACCGCAAAAAAATATGTTTTGGCTTTGGATACATTTTACTTCTTGGATACAATATATCTAAATCCAAGAACAAAACATGTCATATATTGCAGATTACCGATCCTCAGATGTGGTGGATGCATTTGTTTTCTTTTTCTTTTTTGGGGGCATTTTTGGCAAGTACAGAGGAATATCTGTTAATCCTGCCGGAAATTCAGTGTGCTTGTAACTTCCTGTACACTGAACTGAAATCACAAACAGTGTTATCATCCTTCCCAACTACCTTCTGTGAACTACAGAAAATTTTTCACCCTGTTATGAAACTGAGGAGAAGGGGAGGTGTTGTTTTGCAGTTCCGTCCTAGGGTGACAACACTGCTGCTTCATAGATACAGTATGGTGTGTACGTGTGGTCACCCTAGAACAGGAAGTGGGTTACTGGCAAGATCACCAGGTGAAGGAAAAAAGAACAAATGCAGCCACCACATCTAAGGATCGGTGAACTGCAATTTTGGACTTTTTTAGGTTTAGATATCCTTTAAAGTGAATGTAATGCCAAAATGTTTAGTTTTGGATAGAGTAGGAAAGGGTTAAAAAAAACAACTGCCATGCTTTTTTTGTCTGTGAACCATTGGGGGAATTTCTCTTTACTTCCTGTCCCAGAGCAGCAACCAGAAGAAAATCTTAGAGAGCTGTTCTGGGGAAAACTCTAAAATGATGGATTTCCTCTCACTTTCTCGGTGAAAATGGTCACCAGTACACAGGGGCCTAACAACAGACCATGGGGTGTAACTGTGGATCGTGGGGCCACATAGCAAAATTTTGATGGGGCCCCTCGGCGACCTCTCCACTGTCAGTGATCAGGTAGCAAGAGATCTGCATTGTCTGCTCCTGTACATCTGACGTCAGCTCTTCTTGATTGGAAATGTCACAGGGGGTACATGGTCAGTGTCAACCCTAACTTCTGCAATCCTTAATGGGGCCCCCTTCCACCCCCAGGCCCCATAGAGGCTGCATGGGCCGCTATGGCTATTGTTATATCGCAGGTCCAAATGCAAGTTGGGCTCATTTCTAATCCCACCTGGAAGCATGTAATGCTTCGCTATGGCTGCATGCAGTGGAGTCACAAGGGGGTGTGGCCCGCACCTGGGTGACACCATTGGAGGGGGGTGACACTAAAATGACTGGCAGTCATTTTGGTGTCAGCCCTTCTGAAAAGTTGGACACTCGGTCATGGACTGAGAGCCCGACAGTTGCACAAGAGAGGAGGGGACCCGACGGCATAAGGTATGAACGTCCCCTCCTCTCTCTGCCAGCGTCCATCACCAAGATGCATGACGATGTCACGTGCATGTGTGATGACATCACGGCAGGGTTTCACCTGGTAACCGCTCCTGGTGATACTTGGCCTCGGGATGCTCCTGTGCACATGTACATTCCTCATTCATTTAGATGTATTCAGTCTCACTGCGTTTATAAAAGCAAGACTTTTCTGCATCCTTGCACCATTTAGCCTTGTGGTATGCTGCGAAATGCATGTAAAAGCAGCTAGCAACACCTATGTAGTGCAAGAGCCTGTCTGATTGGATAATTTAGGCAGGTCCAGGGGTCCCTAGACCTCTCGCTGCCTTAGACCAGGGATGGGGGGACTGTGGGGGAGGGGTTGTGGCA